AAATGGACAAGGTTCTCATTCTTGATAGCAATATCATTTCGTATATAATTCCGGCGAATTGACACGTTTGTATTTCTTTTTATTGCCTCTCGGATACGTCAGCTGTTTACCGTTAACGTTTTCGGAGGCGAACATTTCCGAAAGATTTATCGAACGATCCTGAGGAAACGCTTGTATACAAGAACCGATTACCGGGACATTGAATTCGATCGAAGACACCGAAGAATAATGAAGCGATATGGAATTACTTTGATGTTAGAGATAACCGATACACGTGTACCGGATACCGATTTTTTGAATGAACAACTTTGGAAATGTATCAAACGTGAATCAACGTTTACAAGTGATACGATCGAAAGAAACAAGGCTTTCGGTGTAATTGAAATGTTAACTCGATAAGTTCTTCTGAACACGATTAGTAGAATTTTTGCTGGATAGATGGATAAAAGGATTATCGTCGTAAACAGAGATTCTGTGTTCTGCAATTTCAAATTTTATTTTACAAGGTTTATTTTCGTAAACAGAGATTCTGTGTTCTGCAATTTCAAATTTTATTTGACAAGGTTTATTTTCGTAAACAGAGATTTTGTGTTTTGCATTTTCAAATTTATTTTCATAAAATTCCTCTTCGTTTCTGGGCCCCCTTCTCTTTTCCACGGTGATAAATTAACGCGACCGATTATGAATATGAAACTAACTATTGGTGCGTGGTTGTTTTGAAAGAATTCGAGAATGGACGGGCCCATTTTTCACCATTCCCTAACCAGTTTTCAATTACGCCTTCGCATTCGATTCACCGAGTTCCGTTACAATTTTGCCGAAGAAATGAAAATACGCGAGTTTTCATAAGCCCCGTGTAATTTTCATTATGAAGAAGGTGTATCAATTCGAATGATACGCAAAATTAAGAAATCAGGGATTAAAATGGTGCATGTCGAGAGAATCATTTATTTATTTATTTGTTTTCTCGAAAGCCTAGTCTCGCATCCGTTATATTAATCAGATGTATCGCGACGCTGGCTGTTTATGTTGCTGATATTTCTCAAGAGGAACGCTATTTGACAGCGACACATTATCGACATACGGCTCCTCCGTTCGACGACACGCTGGTCGTAAAGAATAAAAAAGCAGAAGGTACACTCTCGATCAAATCAGTCTTCCCTAAGAAAAATATCGATGTCCTGGTTCCCATCCTTCCCCATCCGCGTCCTCGGGGAAACTGCCACTGCGTGGGCGGAGGCCCCTTATATATAGGTCAGTGACCCCCCACCACTCGCGCGCAAATATTCACGCGGGAAAATTTGAACGAACGTTAACTACGAGAAGGCTGATTTGATCTCGAGTGTACCAAGAGGGAAGTTCTCATGGAATCTCGAATATATATTCAAAAGGTCGATTCTGTATACGTCATATCGATTAATCTCAATTACATCCGTGAAATACCAACGAGTTCTCGCACGGTGATCGATAATTTCGGTCACGGAATTCGGTTTTCTTCTGGGTCAAGGATAACCTTCGATCGCCTACGTTATTTCGAAAATGGAACATTTCCTTCTTGTAATTCACAGTGTTCGCTGATAGATTCGCGTTAGAATTTCAGATCCAGTATTTTTCACCGATAAACTTCTGTGTTCGTTATCGTTAATTTATCGATGATCCATAGAGCGGATAGAGATACGCGTCATGATATTTGAATTCAGCAAAGGCTGAGATGACGTCCGCGAGGTGTAAGCACGACCGATGGAATTTTATAGACCGTTAATGATTCTCGTGCCAGCCAAATGATTCAATCGACCTCCGTTCCCGATTAATCGAAATGGTCGATACTGGCGAACAAAGGACACAGAGGGAAAGTCAGTTGTTGAGGAAATATTGCAGTTCGAAGCGTGGAAAGATCAAAGACCTTGCGAATATTAGAAGTTTCAAGGATCTATTGAATCCTTATAGAACTAAAAGAATAAAAGAAAGGAAGGTGGTGCAGGGAGAAAGATTAAAAAACTAGGTCACTGATAATAGTTACGGCCTTCATACTTAGTTTATCGTCATACATTTGTTCCTTCCGAACACGACAGCGACTCTGATAAGGACGTCGCTCTGTCCTCGCTAATTCGTCATTTTTATCAGCAGTCAGACGTTCCACCTTTATCCTCTGAATGGAAAACGGAAAAACATGGATATTGAACGTTTGAAAAATGAAAAAGAAATGAAAGAGACCTTGTATTTTATTTATTAAAATTGAAGATGTACAGTTGTCAAAAATGAGAACGACGAGCGTATCGAATTAGCCGTCGATCAAGGGAGGAATCGCGATCGCGCCTTCGATTCAGCCGCGCAAAAATGTCGGGAATGTTGAATGAATCTTTCAAGAAGGATGCCTCGGTGTGCGCGGAATAAATGAATAAAAGAACTCGACACGACCCGTAGGAACCGACTGCTGACACTTTTACCTATGCTCAAACCCGTGTCCTTGTGTACGTTCATTTTGTTTCCGTCGGTTCTTCAGGGTCCGTTAGCAAAAGGCGTATAGCTTCGTTCAGATTTTCTCCGCAGATATCGTTCAACCTTCTCAGCGTAAGGATACGAATAACGATCTTAATTATCTTAATAATTTTTCCAATTAATCGAGAAACCGTGTATGGGTATTCTTCTTGAAAATAATTCTACAGCTTCTGTTCGAGTTTACCTTTGAATTTTATACGCTTCTGTTTTGTTAATCTTTCGACTGGTCTCGCAAAACATTCTGGAAGGAACCGTTACGTAGATTCTTTCGGAGATGGACATCCGTCCGGTGTACGACGAGGCAAAAAGTTGACAAAACAATTTACATAAACCCCCCGCCTTCTTTGGTACGCGAAATGCGAACGATTGCACTCGAGTTCCTCTTCAAGTTGACCTAAATTCTCTTTTATTCGGACACCGCTGTTTTCGATGCCTCATCGAATTCAATTTTTTTTTTCTTCCTCTTCATCGTTGAATTTTAACGAACGCTCCTTTTTCTCGGCGACGCGTGTTCTCCTTATCGTGGCTCGAGGGTTGCGCGCCTAATTAAAAGTTATGGCAATCGTTTTCGGAGCGATCGAAGAGCTAGCTTCGAGATTGATTTTGTAAAATAGTTTAAAGACTGGAGGAAAATTTATTTTCATAAGAAAATAATATTGAAAAGTCTACCTGAATTTCTTTCGAGCTAATCGAAATTTCTTATCAGAATCTTGGGTGGATCATTAGTCACGCGTTATCAGCGGTCTATCGCTTTTGTGCCGAGGATCATCAATAATTATTCCCTCGAAACGTTAGCCGAAAGCTGGCGTCGACCTCGTCTTTCAACGGCTGGCTGAATCCTCGTTTCCTCTTCCTCCAACCTGCTAATTATTTCTAACTCGCGGGGCAGATTCGTGGCTTTGCGAACAAGATATCTACTCCTCGTCGCTTCCTCTTTGAACGTTCAAGGATGATCCCTTTCCCGTGACCAATTCTTCGTTTCCTTTCGATTCAGCTCCTTTCGAAAATGTATCATTTTCGATGTAGAAAATAATCCGAAGGATCAAAAGTGTAATTATTTATCTATTAGAATATACGGGCATGGCCCTTTTTATAAGTCGATACATATTGCATTCGATTGTTCAACCATTTACATAACTTGTGATTAATAACATTTTTGTTTTGTACGGACATGCTATTGCTGATTTGTACGAAGCTGGTACAGTACATAGAAAAATAAAAAAATTAAGAAAGAAAAATACAAGAAAAAAGAAAAAACATATATATAATAGTGTAATGATTAATACTAGGAAAATAGTAGTGCAATATAAAGTATGCGCTGAAGTTGAGGTATTAGAGAGCGACTAATGTTTGCTAATTATAATTATAATCCTTTCGTTCTGAGGAACTTATGTTACGTTCCTTGAGTTGACGCTTATGTCAGAATGACGAATACGTGACACTGATTGTGAAAAATTGTTAGTATGCAACGTGTGATGCATTTTTGCCACCGTGTAGAAGAACGCGATGGAGCTGGTCGAAAATTTATAGGTAGCTGATCAGCTGGCCGTGTCCTTCGGGTATTATAACGCCCGAACGATCGCCTTGCCATTTGCATATCATGTTCAGTCATTAAGGTAGCAAATTAGGGAGCCAGGAAAATTATTAGTGATTTCTGGCTGATTCACGAGCGCATCCTTCTTATTAGTCAGCGATATATTTAACCGTCCCGTGATATTTCTATATAGAAATATATATCGATTAATCAGAGCAACGTTTCCGATTCGACTTAATTAACGAACATAAAGAAAATGAATCGTTTCGAGGTATCCTGGCCATCCTCGAATGGTTATTATCTACTTCGCGATCCTCTTTGGTGAATTTCGAAAAGAGGTGAATAAAAATTCTACGCGAGTCGTTATCTGTTCACGATTCTTCCACGTTCTATGTTATTAACCCTTAAAAAGTATGCTCTGTCGTGGCTCCCCTTAATTCATGAAAATTGAATAAAACTTGCTCGGTTTTTTGCATCGGCCACGCCGCCTTTTTCACCCGGCCATCACGGGGAATAAATAATCGGTCCTCGTAATGAATTTGAACGAGCAACCACCACTTAAAGATGCAGCCCTCCCCTCCCCATGCTTTTGTTTTTTCGGCTTACCGAGAAATGCTTTCGGTACCATCAGGCCATTTCGGTGCATCGTGATTAAAACAACGTTTCCAACCGGCTTCATGCACTCGCCAGGATAATCATTGGTAAATTTATTACGTTCATTTGGACGATCAAAATGGTCCCAAACGACCCTCTAATTTCTTTCGTATTTTTCGTAAGCCCTTTCTACCTTGCTTCTTTTCGAAATAATATAAAATTTGGAAAATAACAAAAGAAGATGGATAAATACCGAGCGTTACAAATTGGAAGCGCATGCGAGGAGAATAACAGGGTTAAACTGGACAAATTAAATAATTTTCATGCTCAAAGGTTCGCTTGTTTTCAAGCTTGTCTTTTTTTTTTCCAACAAATACAAATGAAGAGTTCAGCTTTCTGGCAGCGGACATTAATTGCGCCGATTGTACCCGCGTACGTGCGAAGGAACCTGAATTACGGGGTCTCTGAACGCAAAAACGTGTGCGTCGGAGGTGAGCAAAGGAATGAGAAGAGAAGAGAAGAGAAAGAAAAGAAGCGCAAAGAGATGCAAAGAGGCGCTTGGTTATTTATAGGTTGCGCCCGGTTTCGAAGCCTTCCAAGCAAGGGTTCTCTCTCCTTTCTGCTTGCCATCGACGCCACGGCACAGGTAAAAAAAAAAAGAGAGAGGAAAAAAGGGTGTTCCATGGGTGATCTTTATTATTCCTTGTCATTATTCGTTCGATACTCCGTGCAGCAAGTGAGTAACAGGTGCATCCTGATCACTTTCTCGTTTGGCGCCTCCTCTCCTTTCATCTTATCTTCAAATGCCTTAAGACGTTTCAATTTCGTTCAATTGAAAAGAATATTACAGAGTATCAGTGTCCCGAGGAAATTGAAATGATAGCAGTCGGAAGGTACAAAATCCTCAGTGTTAGCTTTCAGGATAATAAATACACAAGCGGGTAAGGAAAAGTTCAGAGGGAGGATGCAAATTCCTCCTGAAAGAATAGTCGCGGCCGTCTGTAAACAGAAATCGCAACCCCGTCGGCGAGTTCCTCTGCTTTTCCTCCTGGAAAAATCTGAGGAGACAGGAGAATCGAGTTAGTCGTTCGTGGTAGAATAATTCATGGATCGGAGCTGCGCGGCTGAGGATGCTTGGATCCATGGCAGCGCACTTCCGCGCTTTATTCCTACGCTCGTTAATTCACTTACTTTTCCCTCGAATGAATCGCCTCCTCCCTTGTTGGAATCCGCAAGGTAAAACGACAGCTATAATCGCTCGGACAGTCGTGCTGACTTTTTCCTCGGTGACGTTTATGGTTTGCCGAGCCACTTGAGAGATACGGTCCATTGTTACTCTCTTTCTCGCGGGGATCGTATATTTTCTCTATGCAACCTACGTGTCTGCCCATTGCTAACCTATTCTACTACCTGCAACTCCGCTCGTGTTTCTCCATTGACGTTTACAGACGTTCTGTTATTCGCTCGTTACAATTAGCGGCTGACTCATCCGCTCAACTATTTGCATTCGAATGGTAAACACGCTCGCTTATCGTTCGACAACATTTGTTTCACTCGTAAAATACTCTGAGCGTCGTCCTTTATGATATTCGCAAAGGGATTTTTTACAATTATTCGATTACATTTAATTTTTAGTGTTTCTTGTTTGAATTAAAATTAGGCCGCTCTCCATGGTCCGCCGTCCGAGGGAGAGATACCCGAAGAAAATGACCTGGTACACCGTAATTAATCGATTTTCTCACTCGCTGAAAGGAGCCTCTCGACGAGAGGAAATTAAAAAAAGAGTCCAGGCCTTTGATAAACGAACCTGTTGCTTTTAAATAACCACTCCGCCGTCTGGTGTTTTCAGAAGTTTCGTTTCGTCTCGTCATGATTTCCTTGTCACCGACGATGACTCGTCAGGAGGTTATTAGTTTTCTTATTTGATTTTAATTTCAGGTAGTATATAATCAAGGCGTTAAAACGGAACTGTTCAATGTTATCTTTACACGTATCTCCGTGGTATATTCAAACGGTTCGCTCGTATAATGAGACTAAGTGTTGATTAAAGTCAGCTAGCTATCCATAAGTCGCATACCCGTGATCGCGCATTCTCGTAGGACGTTTACGGCCAGCTTGTTACCTCGGGAATAATATTGTTCGCGATCCGAGAAACCATGAACGCGAGTTAAGGGTTTCGTTCACCTGAAACTGTTTACCGGTGACTGGGTTTGTATCCAGCGAATTCGTTGTTAGAGGATTCTCTACCGAGTTGTACGCTTCCGTCGTTTCTCAGAGACGTTGTCCACGGGCATCCTTGGGCGATGAGAAGGAAAAGAAGCGGACATGTGCGGTGAAATTCCCACGGGGCGCATCGTTATTCCGGAATCCGCGTGAAACGGGCACGCGAGAACAATCCGCTGATAATAATTGTTGACGATCGACACGTCCCTTCGCGTTTTTTTTTCTATATCAGAATTACGATCAACAGTTTCTTTCTGGACTAGCAATTTCAGTTATGCTATCAAGTTCGACGAACCTTCGATGCTTTTAATTTTGGTGAAACAATCGGAGGAGTAATCTATCGTTTAACCCTTTTGTTAGAAATGAAACTAACATTTTGTTTTTCTAAAATTCTTAATATAGAATTGCTTGGTTGTGTCTATAAATTCTCTTCAGAATTTCAAAGAAATCTCCTTTCGTGACAGAAACAGAAAGGAGCTGTTTGTCTCGTATAAATCAAAAGTACGAGTCGTTATCAGATACCGGATCCAGCTCCGCGAATGATCTTTTTCGTTTTTTTTTTTTTTTTTGAAATCGCTTCGGGCGTTATCATTAATTTCAACAGGTGATTCCAGGAACCCGATGACCCGATCTCCGGGCCAACGTTCGACAGATCGGAGCGATCTTCTTTTTCGGTTCGTGTGTCGATTGAGATATTAATAGCGGGACCAGTTGGCGGGCATTCGCGTGGAAAAGTAACGTGTAAGAGTTACAAGACACGAAGAAAACGAAATAACGCGTCGGATGAATCTCTAGATGATTTGTGACGATCAAACAGACTCCGTTTCTTGTCACCTTTGATTTATGACGGATTCTAGTTCTCATCGTTTATCACCGTAAACACGCTTTACGGTTCTTGTAATTTCTCAAGTTACACGATATTTGTAAATAACAAATACTGCGTTTAATAAATCTTTTAGAATTATTCCAGAGATGTTCGAGGAATAGATAAGTTAGAAATGGAAAGCTGGTTTCGAGATAAGAGCCGATCGCGTTAATTAGATTCCTACGTTTTAATTATCTATCATTGAAAGAAAAGTGGACACATTTATTCCAGCGAATCAAAGGTAGATTTTATTGCAATCGACAGGAGCCGAGGGTCATTCTCGTGGAAATAGTCGGGGATAAACGAGGAGAATCTGAACGTACCGATTGTGGTATCCTCGAGAAACCTCAATTCATGATAGTAAACACAGCGGCATGCAATGAAACCTGTCCCACGCGATCCATCGCATGGATCAACGTGCATATACGATTCTTGATTGTTCGTTGATAAAACAACGGTACGAAATATTCGCGAGCAAATTTACGTCTTCCAAATCGCTTTCCCTCGCTTTAGTGACCATTGTACAAGACAGACGAGTATCGACTTTAAAGAATTAAACATTCGTATCGTTTTTTTTCTCCCTGATACAGCAAAATACCGTTAGTGTTTGGTATTTTAATTGGACTCGATTCGACGTCGCTCTGAAATATTTCTAATAACCCTTTCGGTATGAAAAATTTCCAACGAAGCTTGGATTTGCAAAACTTTCAGAGCGTGCTTAAAATTCGCTTGAAAATTCGCGAAATGGGATCTTCGAATATTTATCCCTACTTTGAGACACCGTTGCAGAATAGGATTAAAAATCGGACGAAAGGCGGAGGTTTGAAATGAAATTGAAAACGAAACGATTTGGCAAAGAGGCACCGACTCGTTCGACTCGGCATTGACTCTCTCTGTGTAATGTGTAACAGCAGCATCGAGCGTATAACGATCGGAACACGGTTTGTGCCCCCTTCTACCTTCGACGAAGCCCACGATTCCTTCTTGTGTACACACGCAGACACGCATACCTACGCACGTGCAGGGGGTACCGACTTACGTAGACGTTGAACACACACGTGGAAGCCAATTGGAGAGCCAAGTCTTGGCCAAGTCTTTATAAGTAGGAGCCATCCGCGTCCTCAGGACTTACTCCCTCTCGAGAACGTGGCACGATCGGCAACCGATTTCCAGAATAAGTTCCTGAAAACGTCTCGCGAACTCGTATCCACGTTCGACAATATTCGATCGTCCAACGAGGTGCTTGAAATTTTCAATTAACCGCGAGATGACGAGGATCTGTTAAAGAGGACTCTTCGGTTCGTCGTTGATCCCGTGAACAGGTGAGTGGTGTCTATCACCGATCCTCTTTTCTAGATCGCGATCCTCGACGGGGGTCGCAGTGTTAAACAAGTGAATCTCAAGTGTAAGGATCTTCGAGTGTAAGTTTCGTCGTTCGATAGATAAATATCCCCGGTAGCTTCGAGGAGTGTCTGAAATTTGAAATTCTCGAGTAAACGGTGAATTTACGAGAGTAAACCTCGAGATAGATTACAAACATCTCTCGAGACGCAAGAAAGAGATTAGTATAGATTTATAGAGGAAATCCGTGGACAGTTTACACGACACATTAGATAACTGAATTGAATTAATTAGGTTCCTGGTTGAATCAGTAGTTTGTTTAATATTTCTTTCACGCGTGGTAATAATCGTGTAACGGTGACGTCAAAATTTCAGTGATATTAATGGGATACACCTCTCGATTTCTCGAGTCCTTGCATTAAGCTTTCCTCGCGCGTTCTGTGTTTAATTAATACATGGCTCTTAATTCGACGAAAGGAAGGCTGATCGAAACCTGCTTTTTTCCGACTGATTAATACGTTGCTCGCCTAAGCGTGTCTGGTAATTATGTTTGATAAAGGTTCTCGGTTGCGAAACGCATCCATCGCGCTCTTGTAATTTACCCTCCTGCTATTATCGAACGATTAATTATCGATACGCGTGTTTCTTTATCGACACGCAGGAAAAATCGATCGATTGCGAAACGTTAGAAAAGATAATCGACGATCGGATACTCCGACACGATTCTTTTCGATTTTCTTTCCCCGTTCGTGGTTTACAATCGGCAGAGTCACGTAACTGTTTTACCGGGTTACAGGCACGATTTACAGAGGTTACAACGTGTCGGTGAACGTACGTGTGCCGACCGAAAAATCCCCGATTCTCGATCGTCGATTCACGTCGCGTAGCCCGGCCGAAAATCGCGAGCTGTATTTGGATCGATCGAGCGTTCCGCTTCGAATTCATCGATCTTGGCATTGGATCGATGCAACCGCTTGTCCTCGGCATTGCCTCGTCACGATCCTCCTTTTGCTCCATAAACGCATCCTTTTTGTATTTCGAAGGTCGTTGGAAATTATTTTTTCGAGCTGCAGCGATTGCTTCCAGACGTTCCAGAATGTAGATGAGCTTGAAGTACCTCGGTTAAACGCGACGTTGGTAATAATAATATCAGTTGCGTGTAACGGCGAGTTTCTAATTGAAGGATACAAAGTGCAATAAACAGGATGCATTGTGCACGGATGCACGCGGTGCTTTTTCGCGTCCCTTAACGAGTCGCTCTTCCCGGATTCGCGATAAAAACTGGGAATCTTCGAAGGACATTCCGCTTGGTTCGTGAGCAGCCAGTTGAACGGTACGGTTTTTCTCTCGCACCCGGCTTTATTTCATTGTCACAGGCAAGAAGTCGATTAAAAGTGGATTACATCAACCGATACACTGTCGTTCAGAAATGTTTGCTCATCGCTAACCCTTTCGAAGAACGTATCGCACGATAACTGATAGCGAATATGTACTTTTGATCGTTAATGTAACTTCTTGAAATTCTTTACTTTTTTATTATTTCTAAACTTTGATATAATTGTTATCGAAAGAAACAAAGGGAATGTTGGAAAAATTTCATCGATAGATTTAACGTACGATCTCTGATAGCGAATACTTTTGATCGATAATGTAACTTCTTGAAATTCTTTACTTTTTTCCTTCTAAACTTTGATATAATTATTATCGAAAGAAACAAAGAGAATGTTGGAAAAATTTCTTCGACAAATTTAATAAACGTATCGTACGATCTCTGATAGCGAATACTTTTGATCGTTAATGTAACTTCTTGAAATTCTTTACTTTTTTCCTTCTAAACTTTGATACAATTGTTATCGAAAGAAACAAAGGGAATGTTGGGAAAATTTCATCGACAGTTTTAATTGAGAGTAGAACCTTGGAGGATTGCAGAATTAGCGGTAAAAAATGATTTTCCATAATGCAAAAATAAAAGAGATTTCTTCCTCGACTGAGTCATTCAATTGTCTAATGATATTCTCCTTGTACAATGAATTTATGCCTTGATACACCATACTCGACGTTATTCTGGCATCGATGAGATAACGATCGTAATTCACTCGAACGTTCTCCGGAGAACGTCGTTCTTTTCCACGTTGTTTAATTAACCTGAATGGTAATTGACACTTATCGTTATGTAATTGTTGCTCGAGAAACGTGGCTGGATTGTTAATCGTCAGGCACGCGTTTCACCGGATATCGAGACTTCGTTTTACTCTCGAATCGTAAAACGATCCGAGGAAGGAAATTCAATTTCCTGTGGCAACGAAAGCTCTATGTATTCATCTCGCGTAAATAATCATCGTCGCGATGAAATATCTAACAGAAAATCGTTATTAACAGATCCAAAGAAGGCTGACGAGACTCGCGGTCTCAGCCATTCCTTTACGTTTATCTTATTTCGTTCGATCGCGTGCAATTACGCTCTATTTAGGGGGACTTTAATGCAGCAGGGACGGGATTTCTCATTTTCTCGTAAACGTGATACATAGAGCATTATCCGAAGCCTTGAACCTCGTTCGAGCCGAGCCCGCATGCGATGCATGATAAATCTACGGGTTGGCTCCGTCGCGAATAAGGGATATAATGGAAAAATGAAGAGGACGAAGTAAACGGTACGAATGGGATGGCTTTTGCGCTGTGCAATTTACAAGTATCCCTTTAATTGCGAGCCGCCGAGGATACGATTACCTCGAGATACTCGTTGCCGTCTTGGAAATTATTTTGTTTCAACGGGTTTAAACGGTGACGTTAAACTTCTTCCATTAATAAATCGAACGGATATTAAAGTGACATCGAAATAATTAACGCCTAAACAAGTTTGTTCCATCTGAACTATATTTTGCATAAATCTTCTGAAATATTCTAAGTATCTTTCTTTCATATACAGAGAGGGAGAAACGCGAAGGAGAAGGAAAAGTAGGGGAGATTGGGTATGATTGTCACACGGGTTCGTTGTCACAATTGTTATAAAAAAGACACTAAATAATAGAAATGTACTGATAACCGATAACCCATGGCACCACGAGGATATATTGTTGCCTCTTCCTCGCGATCGCTCAGTTCGCTGTAGATTAGTATTAAAACACGACGGGACATTGTTAGTTTTTATACATTTGAAGTAAATTTTTGTAATATCCATTAGGTAAGTATATTGGTTTCTTAGTATTTCAAATCCGATAGTTTAGAGTTTTATCTAATTTATTCTGATAATATTTTTGCATTTTTCGAACTTCCTAATAAATTAGTGTATAGTTTAAATTATTTAACGTCGTGGGTCAAGTTGTCACAGAAAATTTGGGGTTATTTGTCACATGTATTCGCAATGATTAACAATGTATATCTGCCATCACTGCGATTCAGATGATTCTGATTAACGATAAGACTGCTGGCTTAATGATCTTCAATAATTGACAAGTTTTCTACAACTACTTTTAATTTATTTTTAATGATTTAAAATTCTCAATTTTATTATAAATATTTAAAAATTTAATTTTATATTTAATATCGTTTAGGATTCGTAATCAATACAAAGAGTTATATTTTTAATTTTCTTTTTTTTTAATAATTGTAAGTTTAATTTTGTGTTCAAGACAAATGCAAATAAAATTGTTACTTTTTCAATCGAATTGATTTTTTCTTAATAAATTTGGCTATTTATAATGTGTGTACATTGTCACAAAATAATTACTACAGATAATGTGAATTAACTCCCAATCTTATTGGTAATATTCATAAAACTAATTTTTTTTATAAACTTAGCAGTTTGTATTAAACTATGTTCGAATGAACTTTCCTGCAACTATAAACTGTAAAAAATAAAAATTAAAAAAATGTGACAACCATACCCGGTCTCCCCTGTAATCAGGCGGGAGAAAAATCGTCCCTGCAAATTTCAAAGCTATTCTTATCGCAACCAGCCACGCTATCGTAACAGTTTAAGTTCATCGCACTGGGTAAATATCAATGTTGTTTCTTTGTTCTTACTCTCGATCAAATCCTCCTATCGTTGTTTACCCCACATCTCCTCTCAAGATGTATCTAAAAGAACTGGATCCATTAAATGGATTCCTTATTTCGCTTTCAAGAGGACGCTTTGAATTCCAGACACGATCCACCGTCGCATCTGTATCATTCTTCATCGAGTTTTCCTCTGTAATAAATATGCTAAACTGTACCGTCGACATGGCAATTCGCGATGCCGAAGGAATCGTCTCTTTGGAACCGCAGCTTTTATAGTTTCGAGGAACGTTCGATCGTCATTTTGCGTTTCGATCAAGAACTGGTTCGATTAAACCGACCATTCCGAGCTCTTCAAGGGCGTACATCGTTCTTGTATCTCATAGGATCGAAGGACAATTTTCGATGAAAAACATCACGCGCCGTGTAATTTACGATAACGCGATGTAAGAACTTCTCTTTCCTCCGCGGATTCATCGAGGGAAAACTTTCTCTACGATTTTTCTCGCCGACTATTATCCGCGAGGATAACTACACCCTGATTTCCTGAATCGTGATTAGCGCGGCTCATCAGGCAAATTGATTCTAATTCGAGGCCACGCGTTTCGAGCGTACAATTATACGACTGTCTTCGATAAGAAAATCGTCGTGTTTCAATGGAAAAATACATTTTCTTCTCTATTAAATAAAGATAATCTCAGTGTGCTGAGATATGCAGATTACCGTAAAATTGATAGGATTTCTGAGAAGGGTTTATTACCTTCAGTCAAAAATTGAAGAAGAACTCGTCCGTTAGGTTTAACGAGCGGTTTCCTGGGTCGTTGAACGGGCTTTGTGTTTTGCAACACCGATAGAGAAGGCATTAATTAAATCGTTTGCTCGGCATCCGAAATCGCCTATCTTCCGGGTGCCTTTAGTTAAATCACAGCCCTCGGAAGATGTACACCTAATGATAGCCTAGGAAGAGGGCACGCGAAACAATCTTTTCTTTAAACAATGCGTATCGAATCGCGTTTGATTCAATTTTTAATTCAATTTTTTCACCAGCATCGAAGCGATCGTCTAAAAGAACTCAAGGTAATACACGACACGGACCGTCCTTGAGTTCTCTTCTTCTCTTCTTCGAGTTCTCTCGTTCCTCGGATACCTAACAGCAGGTGGCAGAACGGCTCGAATCGGTTTATAAATAAGTCGTGTAACTTCTTACCGGGCTGTCGTTACCTCCGTGCACCTTCGTGCCGTATTTCGGAGATGCATTTACATTGGTAATCGTCGATGATCGGGAACGAAATATGTTCGACCCGCAATTAGAGGTAAACGATCGGTTAAGAGGTCAATATATCAGCCGTCGTGTTCGAATAATCATTAGCAGAGTCTGGCAAATTGTATTCAACGACGAACAGACCGAACTATGAATAATAATGATACCATTACGTGCGGCAACGTTTTAGAGAAGATATCCATTTACATTTAAACGCGAATACCTCGTCGATTAATAATTTCACTTTGTTTCTGCCGGATGATTTTTCGGAATTTTCAGACACTCGCTGTAAAAACTGTTTCGAACGCGATCCACGAAACGTATCCCTCTGTTTTTCGTGCGATTCTTGACGAAACGAGAACACCGTCCACATGGGATACCATCGATTTGTATTCAAGCAACGGATCTCGTGTGAACGGGGCCTGAACCCTCGGCACGGAAAATGTTTCATTCAACGAGGAGAGAAGCTTTTGCCGAATCGTACCGACGATAAAATTGAATCCGCGACCTACGTACTCTATTTGTACACATTTTTCAAGAATTCCCGGGTACAAGGAATTTTGCGGGTGCAAGGAATTACGATGCGTCACCCGGGGAAGATACAGTGGGTCCAAAAAAGTACCTCTGTTTTAAAATTCAACCAAATGACGAGGTTTTTTGAGAATCTATACAAATTAATTTACTAAGATATGCGCTTTTAAATTTGTCGAAATCGGGAAAGAAATAGTAAAAGGCAATTTTTGTACTTTTTTATTTGAATGATCGATGAAATTTTCAACGTAAACATAATTTATTTGAAAAAATTCCCTTCACTATTTTTTTCCACGATTTCAATAAATTATAATTTTTTAAAACGACAAAGGCACATATCTTACAATTAGTAAATTAATTTGTACAGCTTCTCGAGAAACCTCAAGTCATTTGGTCCAATTTTAAACGAGATACTCTGTTTTAAATGGTGTACAAATACTTTTTGGACCCACTGTATATTCCAAGAGAGGAATATAAAGTTTATCACTTTAGATTGAACGAAAGCCAGCTGATATCGGCGTTCACAACACGCAACGTTCGCCTGTTAGCTTCGTAAATCAGAGTCTCACGCGAGTCTATCAAACGATCCTCCTCGTAAAGGGTTAAGTAAACTGGTTTCCAATAACCAAACTCCTTAACTAACGAACGCTCCAGAGAATTGGATACAGAAGATCGGTTGCCATTTCAATGCGCAAGTCTGTTCCAATGTCAGGATCACCGACAATGACATTGACTCTGCTCGCGAGTTATGTCACCGTGATTCTCGCCTGTTCTTGCGTTTCACAATGTTGCACTGATAGCCAGCTGAGAGACGGCATTCCTATGTTATGTCAGCAGCGTTCATGCAATCCTCTTTTTCATTCGAGCCAGCGAGAGAAAGGACCCGAACGACCGTGGGCTTCGTTTTCAGCTTTCTCTCGCTGGAACACCTTTGAATCCTTTTCCCTTTTGCCCAGGTTCAGATTGATCGTTGGCTCCATTCGTCGACGAGTCGTAGGTCGTGCACACTGCGATTCGTTGCGAGATCCCTGCATGGTGATGATATTTATGCCACCCTTTGTCAGACCTGGATCATGTAAATTAGACGGATGATTAACGACGGGGTACAATCTAACTCGTTTTCATTCTTGAAAGAAAGATCACAGGGTTAACGATGTGTAAATTAACAGTAAAGAGTCAATTTTAGAGAGTATATTTTATTTAATAGTCATTTTACAACGTCATTTTCCTTGGGGATGCTTATGGGAAAGGGTGAGAATCCAGGATCTAATCATCTTTCCTGGGGAAGATTTCTTCCATCTCGATAAATTCTAACAATTTCTAACACAGGGGTATCGATACATTTGAATAAACCATGAAAGAATTCTTATTCTATTCGCGAAGAGGACTAGAGGCGATTTACGGTCTCGCGAGAACAACGTATCGTGTTAAATGATTAAAGGCGTGTCGGAGATCGCGGCTAACCTGTAACTGTACAAGGGAATCGGGCATGGGTAAATATTTAAATTGTTGTAGCACGTGTATATATCTATCGGACGATGATCGAATGGGAAAAAAAATGATATCGAGGTCAGCGATCGGTGAGGACGCGGCGGAACGGGAACCGTTTGATCCTGAAGCGTCGATGATGCGTGAATTATTCCAAGTAAGGTCACCGGGTCTGACAGTTAGAATCCTTTGGACGTCGATCAAGGGGAAGATTGGACGTGGGCCAAGCATGACGTTTAAGTAACTGTTCGTAGGTTGCTTATCTTCGGCTGTTTATGCGAAATTCTCGATTGAGGAAATCCACGCCTTTCGTCCTACAAAACGATGCAGATTACGTCACGTTGTCTTATCCCGTTAAAATGATAGGGTTCCACCGTTAATGAACACTGGATTATGATCACTGTTCATCTGTTCGAAATGGAAGGGTAATTTAAATTTTAATTCGATTCTTTCTTTATTCTTTTAGACCAAATAAACTGGTGCCATGTGGATATGCCTGCAGGCATTAGGCCTGCTGATAGCAGCGATTTTATCAGCGTCGGGAGAAATTGGTAAGATTTCGTTGACCTCCGTTTCGAGGTTGAATCGCTTTGGAATATTCATAGTCTGAGGTGAGAGATTCGCGGTAAATGTGTTTTTCATCGCCATTGAGAATGCGCGAACTAGCTGTTTTCTTGACAAGCTCATTTATAGTACAGTTCAGGAAACGCGTGATACGCCTACTGATATTTCATGGGACATTGCCACTATTTTTGTTTCTCTTCATCTCTGTCAGTGGCGTCTTGTTTCTTATTATCGCTGGTCTTCTTAAACTGGTTTTGCATGAAACGTAGAGCTGCGAAGCTTTGTCAATTAAATCTATTTTACGTTTGCTGTATCATAAAACTTGACTGCAAATCCTTCACCCTGATGAAGAATGATCAATATTACAGTCGTATATAAGAGGATGTTGAGAACCGTGTAATCTGTAAATTTTCAGATATTTCTACTCTTTTAGACTCGTATCGTATCTTTCGTGCGCAAAACGGACGAGGAAACGATGCTTTCGTGTGTACGGAGGAAGGATATCATCCTGATCCTCACGACTGTAGGGTGTACTACAGATGCGTCGATTGGGGCAACGATAGTCCACTGACAAAGTTCGAATTCGAGTGCGGTGTTGGGACGGTGTTCTCGAAGGATAAAGGTGACATCTGCACTCATCCAAACGACAGCGGTCGACCGGAGTGTGGTGGGAATGAGAACGAGATCGATTCGAATGAATCTACCGTGTCGCAAGTATCCTCCGCTCAATGGCCGACGACACCAGTTAGCGAAACCAGCCGCACGACCGCGATACCTACGACTACGACTCATATTACGACCCCAACTGGACCACCGCAAACGTCTTACCAAACGGCTACCAGTAGTCCATCGACGACCAGTCAGCCTCCGGTAACCAGCGGTTCATGGGAGAACGATGTTGAGCAAGGTCAGAATCAGTGCACTCAGGAAGGATTTATGTCCGATCCGAACGACTGCAGAAAATTCTACAGATGCGTCAAAGACGGCAACGGCAAATTCATTAAGTACGAATTCTCGTGCGGAGTTGAAACTGTTTGGGATCCAGAAATTCCAGGGTGCAATCATCCTTGGGCGGTAACACGCGAAGATTGTAGGCAAGGTTCGGGGACTGGTGCCGATAATGGTGGACAATGGAACGGAGATAACGGTGGACAATGGGATGGAGATACGGGAGATAATGGAGGACAATGGAATGGTGATACCGGAGATAATGACGGACAATGGAACGGTGATACAGGCAGTCCCGGACAGCCCGGAGACCCTAATGGTCAATCGGGACAACCGGGTCAACCTGGTGATCCTACTGGACAGCCTGGTTCTCCTGGATCTCAAGGTACCCCTGGCACACCTGGAACTCCTGGAACCACTGGCACTTCTGGAACACCTGGCACGCCTGACGCTCCTATCCCTCCTCCCGGATCGCCTGGTACTCCTGGCACTGCTGGAACACCTGGAACTGCTGGCTATCCTGGACCAGGGGAACCTGGTATTCCTGGCATTCCGGGCCCTCCTGGAACCCCTGGTATACCTGGAACATCTGCCCATCCTGGCACTGCTGGGACCCCTGGTACTCCTGGTACACCGGGTACTCCTGGTACACCTGGCACTCCTGGTTTGCCTAATGTTGCAGGAATCTCTGGAATACAAGGAATACCTGGTATTAATGGCATTAATGGTATTCCTGGAGTCCCTGCTCCTGTTGGTAATCCTGGAAACCCTGGTACTCCTGGCACTCCGGGCCTTCCTGGGACCCCTGGTACACCTGGATCACCTGCCCATCCTGGCAGTCCTGGGACCCCTGGTACTCCCGGTACACCGGGTACTCCTGGTGCCCCTGGCACTCCTGGTTTGCCTAATTACGTTCCAGGAACCCCTGGTAGACCAGGAATAATTGGTACTCCCGGTACACCGGGAACTCCTGGTATCCCTAGCAATTCTGGTTTGCCTAATAATATTCCAGGAACCCCTGGTAGACCAGGAGTAATTGGTACTGCAGGCCCTCCAGGTACTCCCGGAACTCCTGGAACTCCAGAATCTCCTGGCACGCCCGAAACTCCTATTCCTCCTCCCGGATCGCCTGGCACTGCTGGAACACAAGGAACTTCTAGTACTCTTGGAGGGCCTGGCACACCAGGAAAACCTGGTATTCCTGGCACTCCGGGCGCTCCTGGAACTCCTGGTACACCTGGAACACCTGCCCATCCTGGCACTCATGGATCGCCTGGTACTCCCGGTACACTGGGTACTCCTGGTACCCCTGGCACTGCTGGTTTGCCTAATATTCCAGGAATCCCTGGCCTACCAGGAGAACCTGGTACTCCTGGCGTCCCTGGTACTCCTGGAACCCCTAGTACTTCTGATACTACTGGAACTGCTGACACTCCTGAGGCTCCTGGAGCCCCTGGTGTTCCTGGCACTCCGGGCGCTCCTGGAACCCCTGGTACACCTGGAACACCTGCCCATCCTGGCAGTCCTGGGACCCTTGGTACTCCCGGTACACCGGGTACTCCTGGTACCGCTGGCACTCCTGGTTCGCCTGGTAAACCAGGAACACCTGGCATACCAGGAGACATTGGCACTCCTGGAATTCCTGGTACTCCTGGAACCCCTGGTACTCTTGACACTTCTGGAACACCTGGCACTCCAGAATCTCCTGGCACACCCGAAGCTCCTATCCCTCCTCCCGGATCGCCTGGTACTCCAGGGACTGCTGGCACTGCTGGAACACCTGGAACTGTAGTACTTGGAAATCCTGGCACACCAGGAAAACCTGGTACTCCTGGAGTTCCAGGCCGTCCTGGAACTCCTGGTAGACCTGGAGTACCTGCCCATCCTGGCACTCCTGGGACCCCCGGTACTCCCGGTACACCGGGCACTCCCGGTACTCCCGGTACACCGGGTACTCCTGGTACCCCTGGCACTCCTGGTTCGCATGGTGTTCCTGGAACCCCTGGCATACCAGGACAAATTGGTACTCCTGGCACTGATGGTACTCCCGGTACTCCTGGAACCCATGGTACGCCCGAAACTCCTAGCACTCCTCACACACCCGGAACTCCTAGCACACCTGATACACCAGGTACGCCTGGCACTCCTGGCACACCTGGCACGCCTGGTACACCTTCAGGTATTCTTATTGTTGCTGATGTATGTATGATTACAAACGATTGTAACAGCATTACTAACGGTGTGTATTTCCAGAAACTCCAGGTACAACAAGACCGCCAGGAACTTGTACACAAGAAGGATTCTTCCCCGATCCTAAGGACTGCCGGAGATTTTATCGCTGCGTTGGAAGTGGTTCAAAGTTTACGAAGTACGAATTCCATTGTGGTACTGGTACTGCATGGGATTCAGCACTTCAGAGCTGTAATCACGAGCATCTTGTTCCTAATTGTCAAGGTGGAACCAGTTCCCCTGATTCTTCAGAGAACAAAGTTCCAGACGAATCACACAATGAAATCGGTGGCGTCACTGATAAGCCAGGTACATCTGAAAGTGAAACAAGTAATCCCCCGTCGGTATCATCGTCAAGTGTTGCACCATCCTCAACTAGTTCCACTACTCCATCAACTAGCACATCATCAAGCGTCTCAACAACATCTGTGTCATCCTCATCTCATCGTCCATCCACTAGTGGTTCGACATCACAATCCACGTCATCCACTTCTACAGTTCAATCAAGCACAACTAGTCCGCAGTCCACACTTTCAGATTCCACGGAATCTGTCTCTTCCTTGCCTCCTTCAACTTCCACTATGTCTAACGTTGAAACTACAACGATTAACTCGTCTTCTGGAACGTCAGAATGTACCGAAGAAGGATTCTTCCCTAACCTTCAGGATTGTCGAAAATTTTATCGTTGCGTTGGTAGTGGTTCTATGTTCACTAAATACGAATTCCAATGCGGTACTGGAACTGTATGGGACCAAACCATTCAAAGCTGTAATCACGAGTATGCTGTTCCTAATTGTAAGGATGGATCTGGTTCACCAGCTTCTTCAAACGGCACTAAACCAGATTCATCCATTGATGAAGTGAGTAACACTACTAACCAACCAGAAGCATCACAGACACAAACAAGTGCACCATCAAGTGATCACGCACCATCTTCATCTACTAAACCTGCACCTACCGTCACAACGTCAAGCACGCCATCGACCGAATCATCATCAACATCTGTGTCGTCAACTCTGTCATCGACTAGTACATCAACCTCACAGTCCCCTGCCACGTCTGCAACTGAAACCAATTCAGTCAGTTCTCAGTCTACATCTTCAGATGTTACAGAATCTGTCCCAGAAGGTAGTACCGCATCTGACGTACAAACACCTACTGGACCCAGTGCATCTCCAGGAACATCAGGATGCACGCAAGAAGGTTTCTTCCCAAATCCAGCCGACTGTAGAAAATTCTACCGTTGCGTGAGTTCTGGAAACCAGTTCCACAGATACGACTTCAACTGTCCATCGGGTACAGCTTGGGATTCGTCTATCGTCACTTGCAACCACATCAGTAAAGTAGCTTCCTGTTCGACTGAAAGTAACAAGATCGACCATGGTGATCAAGGATCCACGGATAGTACTTCAATAACTGGTTCAACGACAACTGTTAGTTCTACTTCGGGAGCTGGTACTACATCTGGATCTGATACTGATCAAACTGACTCAACAACTTCGTCGTCAACGGATGAAACTGCAAGCAGTTCATCGAGACCCTCTGAAATTCAGGAACCTTTAACCACCGAAAGTTCGTCTACTTCGTCAACCTCACAGTCGTCTTCCACTTCCTCAACTTCACAGTCATCTTCCAGTGAATCCGGCGTTCCAGACTGCACCACGAAGAAGCCTAATAATACTATAGTCTGCAACAGCGAAGGCTTCTATCCACATCCAACACAGTGCGATAAATTTTATCGTTGCGTTGACAATGGAAAAGGATTCAACGTGTACCATTTCGACTGTGCACCTGGAACCATATTCGACCCCAGCATTGATGTATGCAATTATCCTGAGTCGGTCTATCCTGCAAGAGATTGCATGACGCCCACGTCCAGTACGTCAGAAGATTCTACCACGGAAGAAATATCGTCCACTACTGAAAGCAGTGCAGAATCCACGACAGAGTCTAGGGGAACCGAAGGTACTACTGAATCTACATCAACGTCATCCTCGATGGAAACGACAACTTCTACGGAACCTGTATCAGAAACGACCGAGTCTACTCAGACTACTGCCTTGACTACTGAAGCAGCTACTACAGAATCTACGTCTGAAGCGACTACAGAATCCACTTCTGAACCCACGTCTGAAGCAACTACAGAATCCACTTCTGAACCTACTTCTGAAGCAACTACAGAATCCACTTCTGAACCTACTTCTGAAGCAACTACAGAATCCACTTCTGAACCTACTTCTGAAGCAACTACAGAGTCCACTTCTGAATCAACTTCAGAGCCTACATCTGAATCAAGTACAGAATCTACATCAGAACCAAGTACAGATTCTACAACTGAATTTACATCCGCGGCAACAACAGAGTCCACTTCTGAAGCGACTACAGAATCTACATCCACAGTGACAACAGAATCTACTTCCGAAGGAACCAGTGAAAGTAGTACAATCCCAAGCTCGGAACAGACTACGGAAATAACAACTTCGACAACCGATTCTTCCGTTTCGACGCCTTGCCCAATTGGAAACTTGACCGACGAACAAATCGTGTTGGCTTGTCCAACTGGTTTCCGAAGACATCCAAAATATTGTAATTTGTTCTATCAATGCACCAGTGAAGGTAACATGGAGATCAAAGTACTCGTGTTGAGCTGTCCGGAGAATACCGTCTTCGATGAACAAAAGATACAATGTTTGCCTGAAGAGAAGAGTAGCCAGGCTTGTACGACTCCCAAAGCTAGTGGAAGATTTTATAGAGGATTAGAGGACAGTCCTGTATCTCCTGTAAGTATATTCATCTGATATTTCCAGTACTTCTGCATCATTATTCATAATGTTCCTTTGGTTTCAGGTGAAAGTATCAACTGATCAACTCTGCCCAGGAGAAGGACACTTTCCTTATAGACAAGGTTGCAGCTCGGCGTTCTATAAATGCAGACGGGACTCTAGAAATAATATTCAAGGATATCTGTACAAGTGTCCGCAAGAATTTATATACTGGTCGGTATCGAGAAGGTGCGAGCGTGCAACACGATTACCCATGTGCGCGCATTTAGCATACAGAACGAAGAGCGAATATTGGGACAATAGATGGCAGATACCAGTAGAAGACTATAATCTGTCTGCTAGAAATCTGCGTTTCCTTTAAATCGTTAATACCTTCGTTGCGAAGAACGAAACATTAGAATGAATCTTTAAATGATAGAAAAATACGTAACTCTCTTCTGTACAACATGGCTGCGGAAGATCCCACAAAAGTATTGTACAGATCTTCAGCAGTCATCTTGTTATTATGTGTAATTAATTGAAAGACGATCAGTGGTTTTTGAACCACTGATCTCTTAGTCTTTATCTAATTACAAAAAGAATGATAATCGTTTGCTAATAATTGTAGACGAATATAATTGATGTTTTTCTACGATTTTTCTCGTGCGTGGTAGTAAAATCGTTGGAAAACCATGTATCGCGAATGTTGGGAATTTTTGGTTGTGGGAACCGTAAGCAATATTAGACTGTATTCAGTAATTTATATCATGTATTTATTAGGTTGATCATTCTTTTGCGTATGCGTGTTCATGTTTCTAAAGTATCTCGTTTTAAAATATTCTTTTTATATCCTGAATTTTAGTGCACGTATGAAATTTGACAAACATCTAGAGGAATGAAGAGAGGATTGATTATAGATTAGAAAGTTTAACGCCAATTCTATTGCATTTATTTCGCGGATTTAATAGTGCTTAGCACTATCTTCTGAATACAGTACAAATCAATAACCTTGAAAAGATATTCTTGTACATAATTACGTCTTAATGACTTTAATCGGTGTTTCCTTTATGTAAAACATTATTCATTGTCCTTAGTTTCTTTTCTCGATGCTAAGGTATCTTTAAAAGGAAACTATATACATTTAAGACCTTTTCCATAATATAGTATAGTTATGGAATAGTACTAGTTTAGTTATCGAACGTATATAAATACTGAGCGTATTTGTACTAGATCTCTGTGAAAATTTACATTAATAAACGATGAGATCTTCCGTGGAAAGCATCGAATCCTCCTTCACGTCCTAATAAACTTTCTAATAAATGAATGCACAAGACATTCATTGATTTCGTTTTATAGATCCTTAAACAGATTATAAATAATTTAATTTTAAAATAAAAGGAAAGTATGCATTACGAATAATATTAACTTTTCATAATATTCAATTCAAGTTAAAAATTAATTGAACGGAACGATTATCTCGTTCCTCCCTTCTAGTAGTCGATAGTCCTAATCGATTGTAATTTATGTTTGCGTGACTCATATTTTGCTATACTACTGTTACACTACAGTCGGCAGAATAGTGCTGTCGGAGTAGGTGTTTGTCAAATTGAATTAATTGTCAGACGTACTACAAATTTTTTGAAGTTTAAGCACATTAGAAAAATCGAAAACAAGAAAGTTATTCTTGTCGAAACAAAATGTTTCGTAGCTCGCCTACTTTTGATAAATTATTAGGTAAGATTTTGCTGTCTATACGGAACAAACAAAATGTCCGACTTTCAAATTTATTAATTATCATTACGTTTGTTGTAGAGAAAGCGACGACTAATTTACAACTTGAAACAGATTGGGTTGCAATTCTTCAAATTTGTGATTTAATACGTCAAGGAGATGTGCAGTGAGTGACTACTATCTAAAGCTAACCTCTATTCCTTGATCACCTTAAAGAAATAGATTATATATTTTTAATATTCTACGTTTACTGTACATGTTTTAAAATATTACTATCATCCCTTAATCCTTATTACTTTATTCTTGTATTATCCTTGGGTTATTAGTTCTAAATTAATAATAAGGAATTCTTTAAAAACCATAAATTTTTATCCATGAAAAATTGAAATGTCATGTTCTATATGTATCTAGGCCTAAAGCAGCACTTGCAGCCATAAAGAAGAAAGTAACAAATAGTAATCCACATGTAGCTTCATATGCTTTAATGGTAAGAAATAATTGGACCATTGTTACTAAGAACCACTTAGTAGAATTTTTAATCTAAATATGTCTTCATTCAGGTGCTGGAATCTTGTGTAAAAAATTGTGGCACACTGATACATGATGAAATCGGTACAAAACAATACATGGAGCAGCTTAAAGAACTAGTTAAAACAACACCACACGAAAATGTTAAACTGAAAACTTTAGAATTGATTCAAGCCTGGGCACATGCTTTTCGGAATAGTCCTAAATACAGAGCAGTACAAGTATGCCTGTTAAATGTATTGATATGTTTCAAATGATATAAAACATTGATATTAATAACAAATGTATGTATGCTAGGATACGCTTAATATTATGAAAGCTGAAGGCCATAAGTTTCCTACTTTGAAAGAAAGCGATGCCATGTTTCGTGCTGATATTGCTCCACAATGGGTAGATGGTGATGTATGTCATAGGTGTCGCGTATCGTTTACTTTGGTGCAACGAAAACATCATTGTAGAGCATGTGGGCAAGTGTTTTGTAACCAATGTTCAAGTAAAAACTGTACTTTACCAAAATTTGGATTTGAGAAGGAAGTTCGAGTTTGTGAAGCATGTTATGAACAAGTACATAAGTAAGTACAAATTAATTACTATTTGATTTTAATGACTTCTTTGGTTTTATGATTTTGTCATTTATTTTAATAGACCGTCAACTGCACCAATTAAGGAACCAGATCTGCCTGCTGAATATCTCAATAGCTCTCTGGCTCAACAGCAACAAGTGTGTAATTTTTTCCTAAGATGGATACAAATTTTTAAAAATGTATTTGAAAATACGATGTATTTTCGCGATAGGTACCGCCTAGAAAAACGGCAACAGAACTTCAAGAAGAAGAGGAGCTCAATCTTGCTATAGCTTTAAGCCAAAGTGAAGCAGAACATAAAGAAAAGGAAAAGAAACGAGCAACCAGCGCTTTAAAGTCAAATACGGGAACGATATCCAGGACAACGTATTCTCCACCACCTTCACCCGTTAGTTTTTGAAATCGAAACGAGCTTATTCGGAAAATCCGTAACGATTTTTCATTTCCAGGGTCCTAGTCCATCGAAGTTGCAAGAAGAGGAAGAAGTTGAACCTGAACTTGCAAAATATTTAAATCGTAAATATTGGGAACAGAGACAAACGGCAATCGAAGAACACGGTTCTAGAGTAGATGTTACAAGTCCTTCTGCTCCTAATATAAGCAGTCCAATGCCTCAAAAAGTCGTAATCGTGAAGCAACAAAATGGCGAAGTTGATAATCAGATGGAAGAATTTGTCAGTGCTTTACGTTCCCAGGTTGAAATTTTTGTTAACAGAATGAAGAGCAACTCGTCGAGAGGTAGATCGATTGCTAACGATAGTTCTGTGCAAACCTTATTTTTGAATATCACCGCTATGCACTCGAGGTTCGTTAAAACACTGATTAATATGGAAAACGATTACAATATCTGTGATATATATAAACTTAATGAACTTCTGTAGATTACTAACGTACATTCAAGAACAAGATGATAGTAGAGTATATTACGAGGGTCTTCAAGATAAATTAACGCAAATGAAAGATGCTAGAGCCGCGTTAGACGCATTGCGAGAGGAACACAGAGAAAAATTACGGAGACAAGCTGAAGAAGCTGAAAGGCAAAGGCAGATGTTGATGGCTCAGAAATTGGCTATTATGAGAAAGAAAAAACAAGAATATCTACAATATCAACGTCAGCTTGCTTTGCAGAAAATTCAAGAGCAAGAAAGAGAAATGCAAATGAGACAAGAACAGCAAAAGCAGCAATACATAATGGGTACAGTACAAATAAGTAATGTGTCATTGTAACGTGATTTTATATTTCTTATTAAATTATAGGTGGTTATCAAGCTGTTTCTGGTTTTATCGGGCCATCTCAAGGTTCACCAGTTCGTCACATGCAGTATCAAACGCCTGGATCAAACTATAATCCTATGTCTCCGACAAGTCAAGGATTCATGTACGGACAACCTTCGATGAAGCAATATCCGTTACAAAATTACAATATGCCACCAATGAATTCCATGTTACCGCACGTGATGGGACCGATGCCTAATCCAGAGCAACAACCAACAGATCCATCCATTCAAGGACACGAAGCTATGGGTCGGGTTTCTGTTTCTGGACCTGGGATGGTAATCCATATACTCTAAAATTTCTTTATCTTTTTATGTTCGTTTTAATGTTTTTCTCGCATTTCGTTTCATCACTTTCAAGATGAGTTTGTTTGTTTTTATTTTCCTTCTTTTTTTTTTTAAAGATATCTCAAATGACCAATCCCATACCGCAACTTCAGCAGGTAGGTGGACATCAGATGGGACCGCCACCGCCACAACAGGGTCCACCAAGTCATATAACACAAGGACAACCTACACCGGGACATATACCACAACAACAAGGTGCTCCTCCGCAAATTGCACAAGCAGGACCACCGAGTCAAATAGGTATGCCCCAGGTACCTCAGGGTCACATGGGTCCTTCACCTACACAAATCGGATCTGGTGCACACGGTCCTCCGGGTCAAGTAGTCGGCCTTCCACCACAGATGGGACCGCAACAACAATCTACAGGTCCTCAAGGACCTTCGATGCCGCCTCATGTTTCGAATACTCCTATTTCATCCCAGGGATCAACTTCTATTAAGGTACCCCCAGGAACTACGACCACGTCGATTCTGACATCGAATCAAACGATGCAAGGTCCGCAAGGACCTGCTGTACCAACGATGCAAGGTATGCCCCAGGCCCCCATATCCCAGGGACAACAGATGCAATTTCAACCATCAACTCCTATGTCAGCGGCATCCAACGAAAGTACATCGGTGAAAGAAGATGCGAAACCGGAAACAGCAGAGTTGATTTCCTTCGATTGAAAGATCCTTTCGTACATAAAGATTAACTGATAATGAGAAGTGCATTTAAGGTAATTATTAATTGCATATACATTTTTATTTTACGTTGGCATTGTTTTTATTTAGCTTATAAAATTTTTATGCTCTTTGTAGAATTAAAAAAAAATTCATTTTTTAAACTATTAATAAAATAAAAATGAATTAACAGAAACTTATAATATTGGTGATACCTACCACGTTTAATATTGGTTTCTGTTTGTTAAATTTTATTTACGTTATACAAGTTTCTAATATTCCATAATGGTTTCTTGGTGATATTACGTTTTGTTAGTACATTGAAAGAAACAGGTTATTGCATCATTTATTTCGTGTTTATAGAAATTGCCAACAATATATACAGAAATTAAATACAAGATTTTGTTGCATAATTGTAAAGTATACCATGCCTAGTGAGACGTTATTTGTAATATTTAAATAGCAAAAACATAAACTTCCAATTATATTGTATCTAGATGAAATGTATGTACAAAATACTTGTATGTTACATAGCATAAAGGAACTGAAGAAAATTAGTTTCACCTCATACCCGACCTTTCACTAAATATACAATAGCTTGTTTTTTTTTTTTTACAAGATTTATTTTAAAATACGTTCTCTATTAAAACAAAATATTACGAAACATAGGATATCCCAAGTCATCGTTTAAAAAAAGAACCTTGTAGTAAAACGTTTTATTACATCAATGAAAAATGTTTCTTTGTTAACTGAAAATTACATACACATTTTCATTCATTCTCTAAATTGCCTAAAGAGATTTTGAACTTATTCTACTCTTTTTTTTGTTATTTTCTTAAAAATTTTTTTTTTTAATCATACTGTTTCCACTTGACCTTTTCTACGTGGTTTCACTTCTTGTGGACAGGTGAATGACGTTTCCTCAGAATGTTTTCTAATCACAGTCGATGGTTCACCGTTAGTCGAAGAAGCAGAAATTTGACCATCATTCTTTTCTTGACATATATGTGATATGCTCAGTCCATTGGATGTTAATGATGCTTTTCGAAGACGCATATCTTCCAAAGGAATTTCCTCGCTACGTGGCCTTGGCATCTTGGGTGAACTGTCTCGAGAACGTAAACCGTTTTCATGGCCCTTTTCACTCGTGTTATTATCGGCACGTTTTGGAGTTGATGTCAAAACACCAGAGGTAGGTCTAGTAGTATTATCTCTACGCATTTGTGCTGCGAAGCCAGGAACTTTGTTTACAGTGAACATTGGACGCGGTTGATCTTTCTGCCTTTGTCCGCGTCCTAATCCTGAAATCAAACCACTCAGTGTTATTTAGTTCTTCTGTCCTTCAACAGTCGGTTCTCTTTTCCATGACACATATATATCTTACGTTCGTGTCGTAAACCACGTAAAGCGTAATTGGGTGGTGTCGAAGAATGAGGTATACTGGTGGGAATGTCTAGTAATCGTGCAATTTGGTTCATTTTCTTCTGACGTGCTTTTATCCTCCCCTTCGTTAACCTTTAATTAGAGATAAGTAGAATAAATAAAAGAAACAACATGTATTATTTTTAACACGCGTTAGTCGTATTGTAATTACTCACCTTTGTTTGGCGGCCAAACATCTAATATGGTCATCGAAAATGAACTTTGTTGATAACAGTGGAACACGATTACCGGTACTACTACTCAGTGGTTTGTAAATTGTTAAGTGCAAACATCTGGAATCATCTTTGTCGCCAGCTACTTCGATATCTTGCAAAAAACCTACTAGTTTTGCTACTCCCCAACCGAGTTTGCTAGTATCAGGTTCAACAAGAATTAGTTGTACAACATCGATGACTAGAAAACGGCGGATCTTCTGGCCATCTTTCCATACAACCGTACACGCGATTAAATCGCTGTTATCTATTTAAAAGTGTGTTTATTAGCGTCTAATTTATTTTCTAATTTAAAGTCAAATAATATATGAAAATGGAAAGGTTTTTACTTAGATCAAGAACATTATCGACTTGAACACAGTTGGCTGGATTTGTCAATGGCAACTGTGCTTCTACTTCCATGTTTAGAGTCAATGAAAGTTCTCTTATTAAAAAGAATACTCTTATAGCGCGTCGTGCTCTTTCAACCTGTGCAAGCATTAATTTTGTTTTCTATTAGTAAATGTAACAAACACACTATATTAATAATATACGTTACAAGGTAAAAAAAAATTTATACTTAATATACTTACTTCTCCACATGGTAATCTCTTAGTAAATTCGATACCCGTCATCGGGGTTCCCGTTGGAGGTAATAAAATGTTACTGTCCATCATTAGCCACTCGACGTTTAATGGTCGTTTCTGAATTTCGCTATATTCATCTTCAAACATGTCTAGGAATATGTCTTCGCTCTAGAGACGAAATAAAATTTTAATTTAGTGACAGTTTTTAAACCAGAGTAAGAGACAATAAGTTATAATAACGAACCTTATAAAAATTTTTTAATAACGATGTGCTTTGTTCTTTAGCTGCTTCAATTGCTGCCATATGCGTGTCTTTTAGTGTATTTTGTCCATCTGACATTACCAATTGAATTAACAATTTAATCGTCAATTCCAATGTAACGAGTCTCACTTTAGAATCTGAAAAAAATATCATTTGTAAAAACGTAAATCATTAATTGAAATATCTAATAAGCTTTGAAAATTGACTCACTTGTTTGACAACTTAACGTTATAATATGAATTAGTCTACCGATTAAAAGTTCGTTATAAAGACTCGTTGAATTTCGCGGATTACATAAAATTGGTTCCAAAGTTTTACGATCTATGCCCTTAAACAATTATTTCATTAAAATAATTGTACGAAATAATTGCACAGAATAGTTTTTAAAATATCTTACCTGGTTGTTAACTAGAGCATAGAGTAAACATAACGCAAATAATGTTGCGTAATCGTTCTCAGTGCAAAACAAGGAATTTAAGATCGTTTCTAAGAACGGCTTATTCGACAATGATTCGCTTTTCTTTCGTGCCAAAGGTATCATAGGGCTTTCCAATGCTAGTCGTTCTTTTTCTTCGTCAGTAATATTCAAATGATTCATTTCTTCTAAGCCTTCTGATGGAATGGTTATATTTAATTGCTCAGGACTCATAAATACAGATGTATCACTAGAGGATGCAGTATCAAATGATGTGCTAGGATGATTTGTTTCTAATACTTCTTCGCCCTCATTTTCAGTGCTATCTTTCGTTTCTTCTAAATTAACTTCTTCTTCGCAAAGTTCATCCGATACAGTTAGAGATTCGCTTAAATTTTCAAGAGATTTTTCTAAACTTTCTTTTGGCGGTGAAAAAGCAATTGGTTTATTCGATGAAATATCGCCGTACATTTCGAGCACTTTACTCGCCCCTGTTTGAATTGTTTCTAAATCTGATAGTACCATTACTGCTGCTAATGTATGTACAAGAGGACCATGAGAAATTATTAGAAACACTTGAGAAAGTAGGAACAGGGCTACTACAGTGCTCACGTGTTTCCTCTCTTCCTGTTAAAAAAAAAAAAAAAATTATTGCCATATCATGATCATGAAATTCAGTAACCGAAAACATACCTGATTTTGGCATAGAAGGTTCTTCTGTCTCATAAGAGAATAAACGTATAATGGAACTAACAGTTTGTGAAGCAAATGTTCCGATAAAACTTTATTTAAATCGGATATATTTAAACAAAGAATATCATTTAAATAATGTAAATGATCCAAGTGTTCCGCCACTAAATCTGATAATCTGTTTTGACTTTGATGACTGAAACATATTATATACATGATAAAAATTTCTTTTCGATAGAAATAAAAATGCTATAAAATTACTTACTCAGCATCATTTCTAACACAAGTGTCAAGCTCTATAATGTGATTACCAATAAACCATACAAGATTGCTGAAATAGGGTGCAGCAGTGCGATCTCGTATAAATGCGAGCATAGACGCATCTTCTACTCGATATACATTTAAAGTTAACGTTCGCACCGCTATACGAACCATTCCTTCCGAATGATTAAAAAATTTAATTGCCTCCGTATACAATGGAAAATCATTGGTATGCTGATAAAAAAGAATTAAGTTAAAGGATATCCTTTCTTATATGCTTAGTGCAGAATCGAAATGATGATGATATGATGAAAACTAAATAATGATCACAGTAAAAAGCATTATATGAATTGATTTAACTAAAATGCTTTAGTTTAGTAGTAGTAAATGTATATTGGGTAGTTTTATTGTTAAAATTAATGAGCATGAGGTTAGCAAATGTGAACAAAGAGACACAAAAAATTATTATGTGTACCTCGTTTACCTCGTTATAAAAGAAATGGATGGTATGCGCATTCAACTTCAAACTTAAAGTTTTTAAGAAACTAATATAATATGCCATTACTTCTTCATCACTGAAGTCAAATTTGTGCACTATTATACTGTTTACATGATTGTTGCTAAGTAAGTAATCTATAAAGTAAATAATTTAATTAGAAGATGGCCACAAATAATAAGTTAATTGCAATCATAAAGTTGACAAGGAACTTACACAGGGATGTCTCATTACGTATGTTTTCAAATAATATGTTTAATGTTTGTAGTAATTGAACACATACGTAGCTTCCACACTTCTGTTTCATTATACGTAGAAAGAATGAAAGCATATTTTTCTCCAGGAAGAAACTAGAAATGAAATATTAAATTATTGTTTGATATACAAGTATGTAAACTTGTTAATTATACTTACTCAAATACGCTGCTATCATTTTGGTCACCCCATATTAAAATTTCAGCTATCGAACGAAGAGTTTCTACCAGCAAACCTCTGTTGTTCTCAGATACAGTTTGATTTTTTGATAATACATTGTATAGATACCTACATATAAGAATGAAAAAGAAAATTAGATAATGCAACAATTTTTAAATAGATATACATACTTAAGATGTTCTAAAGAATGAGGGTTTTTGGGTTTCCAGAGCCCTCCTCCAAACCAACTTCGGCTTCGAAACATTTTTTAATATTATAATCGCATTTGGGTGGTGCCCAGCACTTAATTCATGCCTTTTCTCTTGTTAAAGAAATAATATCAGAATCTGTTAGCGTCATTAAAATTATAAAAAATATGTACTCGATGTTTTTTAAATTCTCTTAAACGTTAGAACGATTGTCGAGACCACGGTAAAAGTCAACACATTGTTCAGGTTAATCTTCTTATTTTTAGTCCATACATTCTTAGTTATATTTTAATCATTAGTTATCGTATTCTTCGAAAGACTACAGTTACATTTTTCGTAGATTCTTCTAATCACACCATAAATAAATTTCTTAAGTATCGTTAATCGAGTATGCGTAAGTTAGCACGACGCAAAACGGGCCTATCTTCCATTACCAAACGAACTATGGAATTACACGTTAGGTTAGTTCAATTATTTTGTCATTATTTATGATTTTTGAACGTTGAAAAACGTGTTATTAATACAAGAAGACACTTCTTTTGTAAATTGTCTGATTTCGTTTAAATTCGAACAAAGTAACTGAACAAAAATTTAAAACAAATGAAAGAAGGTCACTGCAGCGTGATGGAAGAATTTTGTTGACAATGAATAAGATACGTTTGTGGACATTTATATTGAAGAAATCTCTGATGAATCATTAATGATGAGAGTATTAGAATTATATAGCGGTATTGGTGGTATGCATTATGCACTTCAAGGTGAGATCATGTTGTAATGATGTTTTATATCGTTGAAAATAATTTAACCTATACTTGGTTAAAATCATGTGATCTCTTTGTATCATGGTTCAAAGGTATCTTTATTGAAAAATGAAATTAAAATGGAACAAATTTTATATTTTCAGAAAGTGGGGTTGAAGGTAACATTGTTGCAGCAGTTGATATAAATACTATTGCAAACAGTGTATACAAACATAATTTTCCAAATGTTTTACTTATGAATCGCAATATTCAATCGCTTGTTGTGCAAGAAATAAATGATTTAAGTATAGATACTATATTAATGAGTCCTCCATGCCAACCTTACACAAGGGTAGGACTTCAAAAAGACATATCAGATAACAGATCGTCTTCGTTGTCTTCTGTTCTTGAACTTATTCCTCGAATACAGTCACTAAAATATGTATTACTTGAAAATGTAAAAGGATTTGAAAAGTCAGAGATGAGAAATACAGTGTTAAAATGTATGAATGATTGTAGGTTTCACTATAAAGAAGTGATTGTAAGTCCTTGTCAGTTTGGTATTCCAAATACCAGATACAGATATTATTTATTGGCTAAAAGAAAGGACCATAAGTTTTGTTTTGATCATTTCATATCAAATTTTCATCTACCAGAAGATGTTTTAAAAGTACTACCAAAAAGTAAACACAATCTATTAGCGGAAAAATATTGTACAGAAAATTCTAAGACAGATAAAAAATGTTATACATTACAGAATATTTTGGAGAATGTTGAAAGTACAGAATATATAATTTCTAAAAAGTTGTTACAAAAGAGAGCCTGGTTAATGGATATAAGAACATCACAAAGTAATGGTTCTTGCTGTTTTACAAAAGCCTATGGACGTTATGTAGAAGGTACAGGATCTGTATATTGTCCTTATTCAGAAGAAGTTATTAAAGAAACATTTTTAAAAGCTCGTGAATACAACTGTCAATCATCAGAAGTAGCAGAAATTTTAGAAAAATTAAAATTACGATATTTTACACCCAGAGAGGTATGCAGATTAATGTGCTTTCCAGAAGAGTTTACATTTCCAGAGACTTTAACGTGTAAACAGAAGTACAGGTTGCTAGGTAATTCAATTAATGTGCATGTAGTTAGTAGATTAATATCTTTATTATATACTGAACAAAAAATTATATGAGTTTGTCTACACAAATATATTTCATATATTTTTTTTACTAAAATATATTTTTTAGTACCTTAAAATAAAAGTACAAATAAATTCTTGATATTTTTTATATAACATTTTATATCCTAATGAGAACATTTGTAAAAAATACATAAATGGACATTGTACAAAAGATCATTCAATTTTCATAAAACAAAAATCATTCATGTATGTTTGTTCAGTAACTTCACATACTTTATTCCTTAGTCATATAAATATATTTGCATTCCTATATTTAAGATTATAACACTGCTTGTTCACCATATACTTTTCTTTTGGATTATTAGACATCCAATTATTTTATTACTTTTAATAAATATACATATCTCTAGTAGATACATTACAAATACTTTACATTGTTTCCAGTTCAGGTGGAATGTGAATTTTCTTTTCTGCTGCAAATTTCTTTAGTGCTTGATACTTAGAGTGCCATGATTCTATTTCTTCTCTCATCCGATTATTATCTTCTTGCATAGCTTCCATATCACGGTATTCTTGTGTCTTTTCTGACTCTAGTTCATCTTTTTGTTCAATTCTTTTAATGCGACAACTGGCTGCGTATCCTCTGTTTTTTAAAGTACGTCTACGTTGCTTCATACGTACAATTTCCTCTCTTGACAGTCCACGTAATTTTAGTTGCCTGTTTAAGTCCCTCACTGATATAGTTACTAGTTCATCATCACTGATATCTAAACAGGGTCCAGGTGATAAAGGGTCCTGTGTATAAAAGAGTCAGAATATTGTTGGTGAATTTTATTTATACAATAAAAAACAGTAAAACAATTATGGCCCGCATGTTCAATTATTCTATAGTGTTACAAATGAATCAGAAAATTTGTATTTTTATAAATAAGTATAAAAGTCATTTGCAATGCGTAATATCTTGTGAAGTTGATGTGTACGATGCGTCGAGCAAATAGAGATTACAGCTTTGTCTCTGAAGTAACGTACCATTTTTATCGACCGCTTTCCATCCATGGATGTTTTCTAAACAAAATTTATCAGGTTCCGGGCCCCAATAACCACAAAAGTCTCAATTTTCTTCTAGCTTTCACGCTTTGAAGAAAAATTTGCTTAGTCATCGTATACATAGTTTCGAGCGTATCAATTCGCCATTTCACTGACAGAGTATACCTTCCTAAAAACATGATTTCTTCTAGTTTATTATAAGCATGTAATAATTTGATTTATGGATGAAAACAAATATTATACGGATTTTCTTTTATAATTTTTCTAAATACATTAAATTCTATAATTATTAAGCAACTAAAATTCTACAGATGGCGCGTCATGGTAGTAAATTGAACGTGTTGATGCTTTTAGTTAAATTATTTCTCGATAGAGGGTTAGATACGGAAACGTAATTTCTCGCTTGTCCTCGTGTTGATCAAATTTAAGTTAAAAGGAGAAGCAAGGACAAGTTTAGAAGGGATTTACGAGTGAAACATTAAGTGTCTGGAAGGCTCACCGAGTATGTTTGAGGTTTTCTAACCTAACCTAAACTTTCAGAAATAAAGGTTTAGTTTATGGGTGCCAAATATGTGTTAATGATTTGACATCCTAATAAAATCTTCCTTTATTTCTGATTTGGTTTGTTCGCCCTTCATCCAATTAAAACAAATAGTAAGGGTATTCTCGTTAAATCCTTAATTTTTAAAAATTTTTGCGAGGTAAAGATTATCCATTCTGATATTTTGAAAATTGGCGCCGTGAAAGCGTGGATACAACATCCGTTACAAAATATTGATATATCTTTTGTATTTGTATTATTTGTATTTTACTAATATTTTAATACGTGTTTTCCTATTATTTCTTTAATATTATTTGAAATTAAATGTTACTTGGTTATATACATATAAATGATTTGCGTAGTACTCTATTACAGATGGCGCTTCTAGAGTGTTCGAATCGTTCCGCGAAGCAGTTGTGTCTTATTCGAGTAGCTTCTTTTTCCAGTGTTTTAATAGTTAAAAGTGTCGATTTAGAGTGCGATTATTATGATTTTAACAGAGAATATATAGGTACGTAAAAATAATTACACTTGAAGAAGAATAATACAGTAAAATCATTGATAAGAGAGAATATTCTGTATCGCGTCATTGGTACATCCTATATATGGTTATTCAGTTACTATACAATAAAGTTTTCGCGGGAATCTTATACTTTATAGTTAAAAATAAACGAAAGATTAATGTCTGGATGAACGTTAATGCTATAATGTATATTTATCGAAAGTAGAGTGGATAGTCGTACTGTTATCAAAAGCCAATTGTTAGATTTAAATAGGAAGTAACTTTAAGCTGTAACAAGGGAACCATTTTGTTTAATAGTAAACGCATAACGAAATCTATGCTTTCTAATTCGTCATTTTACTTCATTTTACATAAAGATTGTTATTTAAATTTATACATCGCTTAGGTTGATAAATTAATTATCCACTATTGGAAAAAAACAATTTATGTCGTATTAATGTTTACGGTCTTATTTTTCTGTTCCAGATATCAAAAACTGCCTATTACTTGATAGCAGTAACCCAATAGCAAGGAACATGGCGGAAATGACGTTGCTCTGCAGGAAGGAGGGAGACAGCAATATGAAGCAGAGGAGAAAAGGGAAGAAATGTTTGTCAGGAGAAAATACAGGTAAGTTGACACTCAAGAAATACCATAGTAGTTGAACAAAGGATAAAATTGCGAAGTACATTGCACAAAACAATTAGAAGGTCAAATTTCTAAATGAGAATGAATCAATTTACCCTATCTTTATATATTACTTATAGTAAAATAAATTATTTAACCTATCACATTAACAACAATAGTATTATTTGCAAATCTTTTTATATTTTAATATATTTAATTACCTTAAAACTTTTAATAATTACTATAATTGACAATTTCTAATTATTTTGTGTAATGTACTTAAAGTAGACTAAGGAAAAGTACATCTAAGGTAATCCATTTCAACGGCTATATTCTGACCAACGTATTTAATTACTCTGGTAACTTATTAATTGATTAACGGAGTGAAAGTTGGAACGCAAGTACAGTTCCTCGAAGGGAAAGTTGTACACTAGGCGTTGAACAAGCGCGATGAACTTTTTTGAAGCGAGCTATTATTGGTAACATAGAATTGTTACCGCGATATGATTATCGGAAAATTGCGGTCCCCAAGGGAGCGTTGAATCGATACGAAACTTCTTAAACGCCTCTATTTCCCGGCACGTTCGAATAAATATATTATCGTGACATCGGTCGGTGTTTTTCCGGGACGCTGATAGAATTTTGACCAGCCTTTCCCGAGACGTGCGAATTTATTTAACAACAGCCAGAAATAGGATGCTCGAAATAGAAATTTTCGTTCAACGACAAATTATTTTTAAACGAAACGGACGAAACATATTTCACGGAATAATTTTATTAACTCGTTCGACCGCATAATTGCTTCTCTTAAAATTCAACAACGCTAAAGCTTATCGAATTGCCTCGCCCACGGCATCGCGTTATTCAAATCCAGACGATTTCCAGCACGATCGCGCAGTTACACCATTTATAGCTCCTAACCACGAATCAGGAATAATTAAACCCGTCGCGATACGCCTAACGACCGTGTTGACTCGGCTTATTTTCACCCTAATCTATATATCCTTAAGCGTATTAGAGTAGACGGTAATAGAATCGGTTTCGATCGAATATTGCTTAGAGTCTTTCAAGGTATCCGCGCTCTCTTTGCACGGTAATCGTTTTACTGGTGCATCGCTAGAAAAAGGGTTAAGCCCGGATTGTCGCATTGCGGACGATCGAGTGGCCAGGTATTTCGATCTCCTTCGTCGCGAATCGTTCGGAAATCTCTGACGATTGATTCGCTAGCAGCGGGAATGCTTTTGAATCGCAGATACGATTTTCCTCCGGGAATTTCGGGAAAGGTGCCAGCATAATGAACACGGAGATCTATCTTCCGAGGTAATGGATAAGGATGTTAGACATGAAACTAAATATTTGTATAACACCAATGATATAATCTCTAAAAGAATCTCAGCTCGATAGAAATAAAAATGGTGGAATTAATTCTGGACACTTTGAATAAAAATATTCTTTATTTCATTTCTGCTATGCAAAATTGATACCGTAATATTTTCATTGTAATCTATAATCTTTATACTTAATATTTTCATATGATTTGGTTTGTAAATGTTTGAAAATTATAATTTAAAAAAATCTAAATTGTGTTATTTTTATTTTTGCACCTGGCAACACGAAACGTCGCATATCCAACGAAATCTTAATTTTTCTCTACCTTCTTTGATGTGTTGAAATTGTAATTTTTATTGTATATTAAAAGTATGACTGTAAATGGTCTTTTTACTGATTTTTTTATATGAGCGACTAAAATTAGAAAACAATGATTAGAATATAAAATATAAATTATATGCGAAATTTAAGTAAAAATTTAAAAGTGTCCAGAATTAATTCCACTAGTGTAGATACTCCCTGATGTTCAGGCTGTAATTTCCGTTGCTCGTTTCTAAATTTAATTGCAACACGGTGAACCGTGATCGCGAATGCATTAAACAATGCTGGGACCAATTTCGAGGAACTGTTGCTGACGTAACCGGTCAGTTTCAATGGTGCGAATTGATAGGTACATTTGAAATCCGCATCAAACGCGTTTCAATGTTCCACTGAAGGTTTGTCGGTGAATAAATTTTCCCCCCAGCACTGGCAGTTAATGAATCAGAGAAGTCAGACGCGGTTTTTCTAATCGTTCGCCTTTGATTCTCTCCTCGTTGGATAGATGGTATTCTGTTGTTCGATTACTATCTAAATTAGAGCAATTACGACGCGAATTCGTAGCATGGTGTTGAACAGCTTATCTATCGCTGGTTGAAGTTCATTAGCGAGCATCAGATACCCCCTGACTCTATCTCCATCTACGCGGCACACTATTCATCCCGTGTCTCTTAATCTTTTAATTTGTCATCCCGTCGTGATTCCCCTGTTTTTCCCTAAAAAACACCTTATCACGATGCTGTCGCGAGTACTATATTCCTTGGAACCCCTTCGGCGACGCGTATTTATCGAAGAGGGTGCTCTGCATTTTTCAAAACGTTCTCAAATCAAAAGAAAATGTAACAGACATCTTGAAGAATTTTTATTATTTTCTCTTCCTTCTACGAAATATTCATTTTTACAAATTTGCAACCCTTTCTGAAGCATTCGAATTGCTTAGAAATCTAGTAAATTTTCAAGTCGCTGGAAAAACTCGTCGGCGGCGATCGTCGGGGGTCGTTCCCGACGTCCTCGGTCGTCCTCGTAACCGCTCGGGCGTCGCGCCGTCGTTCCGTCGCGACGCAGCTGACAGTCGGTGGTCGAGCATCGCGACGCGCGCACCGTACACGCGTGCCACGCGAGACGCTTTTGATTCGCGACGCGCGACGTCCCTCTTATCGCGTACCTCCAGATAAGAGGAAAACCGTGATTCGACACGCGATTAAATATAAACAAGTTTAAACACGGCTCGTTCTAATCGCATGTAAAACGCGTCTCGAAGTTGAACGACTTCCTTCTGTTTACCCCGAGCGATCGTGAGCCTGGGACAAAAAGGGAACGATTGGTGTGAATTGAAAAACTTTGCGGAAAATGCACAACAGCTGCCGTCTGTCACGCGGACGACACTGATGGTTTGTATTCGAACCGATCAACGATTAATCGTGCTTTTTCAGAAATTTTAATAATCCTGGTTTTTAGAGAAGTTTATAGGTAAAATTATATTTAGGGCTGTTTTCAAGGAAAATTCATTTTTCTATCACGATTCCTTCGTTTTTCTTATCTATCGTTATGCACCCTTTCCTGGAACAAAATGATTTATGATAATACCTCTCGTTGGAACTGTGATCCGTACCTATTCTAGGTGGGTCAGCAGGAGTGTAATGTTTCACGTAGGAATTCGTATACGGTGGAACCGGGAGAAAATACAAGAAGGGTCGTGAACGGATTTTCTCGGACGTTTCCGGATCGGAGATTAAACAGTTCTATGTTTGAACCTTGCGATCGATTCGTTTTGAAGTGTAACATATGTTTGCAGCCGAGTTTGATCCATAGTTCGTACCGTGGAGTCGAAGGAAATTGTAGTCGTGGAAACGGTGGAAAATAGTGTACGATATCATTTTTATCGGTTCTCGATGAAAAAAATATTATTCCTCCTTTGTTTCTGCATCGTT